GGGGGGGGGGGGGGGGGGGGTTGCGCGTGATGCAGTTTACTTGGCATCTGAAAATACATTTCCTCAAAGGTATTTTTAATCTGAAAAGAGCTTCACTGAGTGAGAGCTCAGCAGACAGTTAGGTTTCACTTTCACTTTGAACAGAGAGCCTGCAGGAGTCATGGGCGGGGTGTGTGGGGAGGGAGTGGGTGTGCTCTGCCATGAGGAAGTTCGACTTAAAGACACATCCCAGGGGCGTTTCTGGTATCCCAGGGTGTTTCTGGTCCCCACCTGTCGTTTTGCTCCTCAGCATGGCTTCCTAAAAACGCTGTAGGATTTCTCAAACATGCATGAATGAGTCATTATGAGAGTATAACATTATAACATGATACAAAACTAAAAAAAAGTTGATTTTACACGATATTGCCCCTTTAATATATAAAATGTTACATTTCATTGTGTAAAAAAAAGAGCTGAAACCTGTCATTTTTCCTGCTCACAGCTGGCGTTTACTTTGTAAACATTTTTACAAAGTGATCCAGTATCAGGCCTGTGTGTGCAGTGCACGTGTGTGTATAATTAAAGATGTGAAGTTCCTCCTAAGGGCTCATTAGAAAAAGGGAATGGGAATAACTGCAGGCTACAACCACCGCTTGTGGTTACATAACATGCTCCTCTCAGATTCTGGCTCATCCCGGAGGCAGCTGAAAGCTCTCCGTCCTGCACAGCCTGTTTCCTTCCCTCCCTCCCCCTCTTTCTCTCTCTCTTTCTTTTTTTTAAAAGTTTGTTCCCTACAGCCCGGCAGGTGTTTATTCTCCCTGCTGAGCAGCTATTGTCTTTTTCCTATAAGGACGAATTATCACTTTTTATGTTCCTTTCTTTGTCTGCCTCACACCGGTCTGCCTTTCCGTTTGTGTCCGTTAGAGGGCGCTGTGGAGCCCCACTTTGTCTTTCATCCTGAGATGCTGGTGGTCCTTCAGACAAGAGGAAATATTTAGAGAAAGAAAGGGGAAAAACCTGTTTATTCTTTGAGTTGAAAATCACCATTAAGCCTGTATTTTTTAAAAAAAATGGCATAAAATAATGACTTTTTGTTTGTTTGTTAATCCATGAGTATTTATTCAATAAATACATC